TAGTGAGGGGGTCCGCCACCACAAAGTTGTCATATCTCAGAAGTCACCACTTTGAGGGGATGCTGCCTTTGAGCAGTCTTTGTTTTTGTGCAAGTGAAGGATACTCACTTGAAAATCTCTTGCAGCTTCTTTCTTCCATCAATACCGCTGTACGCTAATTTTTGCATATTCGTAAAAGCTGTGCGGATGTTTTCTGCACATGAATTGCTTTCGGCACGATAGTTTTCTTCAGTATGTACCAAATAGCCTTCAGAAAAGCATTATATATGTCACTGAAAAAATCAATTTTTAGTTCACCATAGTAGTCGACAAAGACTTGAACAGCGGATGAAGATGATATAGCTCCAATGGTATAATCTGGGTAGGTTTCTCGGAAAAATGCCGAAAGTGACCCTGTAACTTATTTCAAGAAAATTTATCGACACTTTAGGGTCAAAAATATATACCTGGGTAAGATCCTCCGAATGTTACCCAATGGGTTTTTGTGTGTGGGTAATATTTCACATTCATTTGATCGATAAATGCTTTAACATCTTCCAAAGCTTGATCAATAGTCAAAAGCTTCAAAGAAGCAACATCTTGCATCCTGAAAATGGATTTTGGTTACGATAAAGGTTTGACAGAGCTACCCTGTGGGAGAATTTTCCTTCGGACCGTAGAATCTGTGCTCAAGCTGAAAAGCAGCAGCTCCATATTCTTTGGCCCATTGCATCATAGTGACACTTTCATCTCGTACCCATTTATCACCAGGAGGAGAAATGGACCCTAAAATCGTCATTTTTGCAGGTTAAATCTAGCTAATTACGTTTGACCTTCTCCTCCGAGCATCAGGAAGACCAGCCCTTTGCTTGCATTGTAAAACTTCCAGTTGTACTGATAACGCTAAAAAGTAGATTACCTTTTATGGCCTACAATGAAAGGCAAAAAAATAAGCAGAAACTACAGACCTGAGACCAGATTGCCGATGAGGAGCTGTCAAAGTGATCAACTTTTTGCTGTATAGTAGAGTAAATCAAATACTGATCTTCAGTTTTTGGTCCACCGCTGTCGGGTGCCTTAACGTTAGTATGAAAAATCAAGAGATCAACTAGTCTTGGCTTAATATTATATTAATAAGCAGATAATTTTGCTCCCAGGATTTGGTTCACTATCATTTTTCGTCTGTGGAAACACTCAACACTTCAAAGTTTTTTTTATTGAAAAAAACTTTTCTACAACTCGAAAAACGGCTTCTGTAGTTAATATTTCGTCACATAATCTCATCTTGTACGTACGTAATTTCCCCATCTATTGTATTTCGTTCTCTGTATTATAGTTTAACACATTCACGACAAGGCTTGTTGTCGATAACGCCTTTTCGTTTTGTAAAACTTATGACCCACCCATGGGTCGTATTGTCCGAACGGCAGTACACGTACAACCGGTCGTTTTATCGTGAAGGTGTTAAGAAAGAAAAAGAACACACTCGCTATTTTGATCAGATTCCCAATGCACCTTTTTCGGCAATATCGGAGGGTGAGCTTACGAACAGGACTCAAACATATAATTGAAGCCTATGAATAAACTTTGCAGACATGGAATTGCTGCGAGCGTAAATACAAGAAATAGAGAACCCTTCAAATGAAACCAGAAAAATCTAAAATCTTGTGCGATATGGTTTTCATGGGTGCTGAGTTTGATACTCAAACTTTTACGAGCTACCTTTGTGAAGCTTTTCAACCTTGTGACCACATTTTTAGGAGCATTAGAAGATTGGCTGCCACTGCTTGGTGGCGCATATTTTTAGGGAAGCAATATGATGGAGTGCAAAGATCATGTTTAGAACCAGAACTCTAGTTAGCTAGGGTGAGAGTCTTCAGGTTGCTTTGTCTCCTTTCTGAGATAAAACATGGCTCTCTATGGCCTAAAGTCCTCTTCAAAGTTCCTACCGTAAATCTATAGTAATGAAGGGAGATCAGAAATTCGTTCTATAACTAAAGAAAGAAGAAACGCGCAGCGGAAATCACTACTTTTGCTTTATTTGTCTGCATTCTTATACCCTCTTCGGAGATGCGCACTCTCCAGTGCCCGCGAGCCAGCCGATAAAAAATGTTAGAGCGCACCTTTTCTAAAGGATTCTTTGTAGGATCACTTATGCGCCGCGGCTTGCCCCTAAAATATCCATGGTCCCCGGCGCACCGGACTGAATCAAGGGCCGCGACGCACCAGACTGGAAATACAAGGGCCACGGCGTGCCACATGGAAATTTTCAAGAGCCACGGCGTGCCACACTGATTTTCAAGAACCGTTCCGTGCCAGGGTGAAATCTAAGGGCCGCGGAGCTCTACATAACTCGTTTAGGTGTAGCGAACTTGCCGGTGCAATTGCCTGAGTATATTGTTGCTCTAAGATGAAGCCAAAATGATACTAAAAACTTCTTCAAAGACTTTATGAGAAGAAGATTATCAACAGTCAAACAGTCAGCACATTACGACACCTTGTAGATTTACAGCAGGTTACGGCCTCCAAATGCATGCCTTCAGCATTTTTCTATTCAAATTTTCACTGGCCCTTAGCCACTAGCTTTTCATTATAAAAAGTAAATCTGGTGGGTTCTTACTACGCATCTTGCTTTGAGAAAAAGCACACCCCTCACATAGACCGAAAGTTTTTTAATTTTTTGCTTTTTGCCTTTGTTTATTTTTGCGGGTTGGATCCTGGATACAACACATAAAAAAAGTTCTTTTATATTGCAAAATATGCTTTTAGAAAGAGTACGCGTCAAATGCCACCCCTGTTCTTGAGAAGTGTTCACCATGAAGCAAATTTTTCACAATCATATTGACCCTTAGTAAACCCCCAATCAGATGAGATGATCTCAAATGAGGG